CTAACTGGTAAAATTGTTTGTTTGCAAAAATAGCAGAACTTTTAATACACATGCATAAACTGCGCAAAGTGTTGCCATAACTGGGAAATTAATAAGCAGTTAAATATAGTAAATATTATCCTTAGAGTAAAATGTAAAAAATATGCAAAAGCCTCATATTTAATGACTTTTTATAATGGCATTATTTATCATTATAAAATGTGACAATCTGGGGAATTAATAAGCAATTAATATAGTAAATATTATCCTTATAATAAAATGTAAAAATTATGCAAAAACATCGAAGTTAATAATTAATGAATTTTTATAATAGCATTATTTATCATTATATGTGACAATATTTATTTATTTTTAAATTTACATTTTTTGGTTATAGGTTTTTTCTAATATAATATAATATACCTATTGAGCTTAAAGCCAAACTTATTTCAAAGAAAATCGACTGTTTAAATATTGAAGGTGCTCTCAAATTATTGGCCTCTTTTTATGATTCACTAGCTGACCACTCAGATGAGACATATAATAAAAATCCTTTCAAAACACCCTTCTTCCACTTCAACACCAATCACTCAACAACCTTATTCTCATTGTGCTTCCTATTTCAATTTAGGCGAAGTAAGGAAGGCAATCCTACCTTTCCACTGAGACTCCGCTCACGGTCTAGATGTGGAATCATACCCATATTCCCCTAGGACAAAACTTCTCAAACTTCCGTCCTTCTTAAAATCACAAACTTGTGCAACCAAATCTTATATGGTGATATTTGGAGCCAAACTTATAGCCTTGCAGAAGCTTAACAAAGATATCAGATCAATAGCCATTGGTTCAACTTTTCACCGCCTTGCCGCTAAAATAATTACATCCAGGATAAAATATGAGGCCTCTCACTCTCACCCCATTTCAATTAGGGAAAGGAGTCAATGGCGGATGTGAGGCCGTTGTACATCTTAGTCGTCTTTATTTAGAGAGCAATCCCACAAATGAAACATATATCAAAATTGATTTTGCTAATGCGACAACACCCTCTCCCCTAACCCATTCTTGCAATCAGCGAGCACATCATTCCCCAACTCCAAATTTTTCTATTCTTTTATTTCCATCAATTTTGTAATTCAATTCTCAAGAAATACTCTCAGCCGTCCACTAAGATCCCTTTTATTTTTGTTTTGCAATTAATAATTTAATTCAAAAAATAATTCAGAATGCTTACTTTCACTCCAAGTCTGGTATATAGACAATTGAATCATTATTGGACCTCAATTGGAAACCAATAGCCGTTCACATTATCAAGGAAATGGGATGCCCTGTTTGTATAATTCTCATCCCCACAAAATCCGAATTTGTGCAAGACTCCTCCAATCAAAATCCCCATAATTTTAAAATTACCTCTTAGGAGGAGCTACTAACACATCTAGGTTTCCCATTAAGCGATTCACTGCAATCTGTGCCTTCCTCCACTCTACTCTTGATATTCTACTTAAGCTTGGTGACCTCCTTGACTTGCTATCCTCGCATAAATGATTTTTCCTCCTTATAAACTTCTATAACATTCCACGCATACTTTATGTTCTGCGCTCAACGCCTATTTTTAAATATTCTAGCCCCCTCAGTATTTATGAAAAAGGAATAAAAGATCTAATCGAAAAAATTTTGAATCTAAAATTCAATGAAATAGTAGTGGCTTAGGGATTAAATCTACCACCGATCTTGCTATCACTGCCTTTATTTCAAGCAGTATACTTTCTAATCGAAACTCACAATCGGGTCCCACACCTGACAAAATGACTCTTCCTTAGATGATGCTATCCTGCTATGAAGGACACGTGATGATGATATCCCATCGGCCGAATCCAATAGACAGAATGATTGGGCCAGACCAGTGGTAGTATGCTGCGTTAAATCTCGCTTCCAACAGACCGTTCTCTCTTTACTTCTTCACTTCTTTACTTAATAGATCCCGGCATGAATTTTTGGAAGTCAATTCTCCAAATTTTTTTATTCCAACTAACCAACAATGAGCTAACCCACCTATAGGAATCCGCATAATTGTATAATAGTTTTTTCTCATTTCTGCTCTGGCTGCAGAATCCCCATGGACAGAAAAGGCAGACACAGCTTATATTGCAGATCTTGCAAATGACGAATCCTCAGGCACATCCAATGCAATTTCTTGCAGCGAGCATTGAAATCCATCTAAATACCTGCTATACTTGAATCACCAGGAGTTTTTAGATCAGATGAAAAGGGGCCTGACGGAATCACCCTGATCCCATGGAAACTGGGTCAATTTCTGCAACTAAACTCTAAACCTACTTGAGCAAAATATAACAACGTAAAATTTCTGAATATTCAGAAATCTGATTATCACATTTATTCCAATATTATCTACTACCTTAACCTTCTTTGATAAGCTTTTATCCTTCTTCAAGGATTTAGGATCTCACATCCGCAAGCATACTAGCAATCCCCGAGAAGGCTCTTTTCTCAGGCAGTGACTGGCTAAGCGAATTATCAAAATTTCTATGGCAGTGTTCTCTCTATATCTTCGCTAGACTCACTTTTACTTTCTTATTCTTATCATTTTGCACTACTTTATATTTGAAATTTTTTTTTACGTATATAAATTTTGTGTTGACTTAATGAATAATAAAAATAATAAAATATAAATTACATTATTTTTATATTTTTTAAAAAAGTGAGAAGCATAAAGTTATAATAAAATATAAATTTTTTTTAAAATTGCTTTGGACTTAAATTTTTAATAATAATAATATGTATTAGATATAGAGACATAGAAAAAAAACGAAGAGGAAAGAATTAATAGACATTTCATTTAAAAAGAAGTACCATCATTTCAACTCTTTAAAACTCTTCATTATATAAAGTATTGTAAAACGACCCGATTAAGATTTTAGCCAAAATCATAATATATAAGCCTGAAGATTTAGTAAATAGATGTCCAAACCTTTCTGCCAGCCATAAATTTCTAGGCTTACATAACATTATTTTGGTTACAATCTTAATTGGGCCACTTTTAAAAATCGGGCCGTTTAACAACACGAATTATATATGTAGTATTGGTATAAGGAATTGATGAATTCAGGAAAATAATTCCCCGAAAATTAATTCCAAGGAGAAAATATCCTAAAAACTATTTCCCGGAAAAAAATTCCCAGGAAAAAAATTCCCAGGAAAAAAAAAGCTTGGTTTTGAATTTAAAAATCTTGTTTTACAGGAATTGTATATTAGCATGTATAAAGTAACCTATATGAATTTAAAACAATTTTGCCATGAACTTAAGAACTACTTCAAATTTCGTATCACGTTAACTCTGGAGAAAACCTTTTGCGAATACATTATCGCCAATGCAATAGTGAATTTATGTTTGACAAATGGTTAATATAATTAATATAAAAAGTATTAAAATTCCTTTGCTACTCATACATTTACTTTATGATAAGGAGTTCATCACTAATATATTTTTGATTTTTAAATATTTTTCGAAAACTATAATTTAACTCTTGGGAGTGCGGAGCCTATATTTCTCTAAAGGAATTCCTAATTCTCTACGACTATACTCTAGTTCACAATTTTCAATTAGACACTCAGCCTAATTGGCGTTATCGAGAGAATCCGAATCCAGGCCAATTTAATATCCCAATTTAATATATATATTCTTTATTTTATATATGTCGTATTGGGATATGGAATCCATTTAAATGAACGGACTTGTTTTAAAATAATTTTTTAAACATTGTACTATTTTACTGACCATATGGACTATAACAATATGTCCCGCTTTTAATAAAGTATTATCTATTCACCACCTCATTCTTTCTCTCCTAATAACAAATATATAATTTTAAGCCAATTGCCAATCAAACCAAAATATAATGCTTTATAAATTTTTATAGCATTTGTTAAAATAAACATAAATTATGTAAAATAATATAAAGTGATTACCAATTAGCATATCCAAGGGGTAAATTATTATTTAACTATAATACAAAAATATATATTTTATTATCTGTAATATTTGAAAAAAAATATGTAACCATCTCCTGCAAAAATTTATATTATTCAGTTTTCATTTGTCAACGTAAAAAAAAGGGAATTTCATTAAATTCTCATTTATAATTTTTATTAAAATTATAACGATTTGTGTTAGTTTCTACATAGTAGCAGTAGCATATAATTGCTTATTAGATATACACAATTTATTTTATTATCCATTTAAATTTTTTTATTATATTATTTTAAATCTAATTATATTAGTAGAAAAGTTATGACGAAAAATGAAATTATATTTGAGCATCAATAAAAAATATACATGGAATTTAGTTCGTTTCAATTTAAAAAATTTTTTTTATATAGTATATAGTATATATTATATATAATTTATATTAGCGAAAATGTATTTTTTCCGATAATATGTTATTTTTTTCAACTTCATATCATTTTTTGGAGGCGTTTATTGAAATTAAATATATGGTTTTACCGGAAATGTTATGCGTAATGTTTGGAATACCTACTTTATGAATTCCTAGTTTGCAATGAACTTTTGAACTAACTATAATATGTATTCGTTTTTCTATAGATTTTTTATATAAATTATAAATGACTCAAAGGTTAATGGCAAAATTGTCTGGAATTAATCAAATTTTAAAAATTAAAAAAACGCGCTCAAAAAATTACATATTGCAGGAAAAAACACATTACCGCCAACATAATATAATCGTATTAATATTTACCAATAGATCCACGAGCAGGTAGTTGATTTTTTTTATTAAACCATAATTTTATTTTAGCAAGAATTTTTTATATGTATAACCCGTATTAACCAATAAGTCTTGGGGGATGTTTTTGTTTGTTGTTAGTTTGCTTAAAACCGTAATTTTTTTTAACCCAAAATTTTTTGTTCACATTAAGAGATGTACCATATTACCATTTATTATAGAGTTAACAAAGATTCTACTTTTGAAAATTTTAACAATCATTATACCAAACGAACTCTTTTGTTTATATATATATTACATTATTATATCGTAAAAAATTCCGATAAAAATTCTAGCTATTTTTTCATTTTGAAGGCTTCAACTTTCTTTTTCATTTCGACATTATCCCGTATCAGCTTGACGTTGTCCTTCTTGATCCTGTCAACCTTATTTAAAAAAAATACATACACTTTTTAAGAGGAGAGATTCTCGAATTTTCTAAAGATATCAGAGGGTTATTTTCGAAAAAAAAATAAGGAAGTCAAGATTTGAATTTTTATTTTCAATCACGGTTCGGAATATTGAAATTTTTTTTTTGACTGAGTTTTTTTTTTACGAGATGGGTTGGCTATAAGTATCTGGAAAAATTAAATTAATTTTATCTATGCTTATCACGTGAGAACAAATTGCGTAAATATCAAGGAGAGAGCTAATAGAACCTAGCAAAATTTATTACAGATTTTGCCGATATAAATGACCAAGAAATATCATGTTTACATGCTTTTTTTCGTTGGTTTCGAAACGTAAACTCACGATATGAGAGCAAAAAATATGTAAACAACATTTTTTTTAAAAATAATATTAGGTTATCCCCTTTTAATTCAATCTTCTTAGATAAAAAATTATATAATGTTAAATATCCCCTAATTTTCCCGTCCTTTCGAACAAAATCCATTTTAAAACGTTCATTTTTTAAATTTTTAAATTTTTAATCATAAATTTAATTGTGTTTGAGAAATACTAAGTTTTTGGTTATTATATTTTTCAAAGGATATAATATTATTTTTACTTAATTTTTATATCTAAGCCCATTATCGGTATTAAAAATAATAAATAAATTTAAAAAAATAATATACCCTTTGATAAAGACGATAAACCAAGTTCTTTTTATACAATACATTTTATAGACTTTATCTGTTGTTTATTATTTTTTAGTTGTGTTGTTCAAATTAAACATGGGATAAAAAATAAAATGAAAAAAAAATGTTATTTGCATTCAGAATGTGAGTTTCTGTTCGAAAATAGTAGAAACCCGTATTAATAAAAATTCATAATAAATTAAATAATATACTATTTTGAAAATTAAATATTGCAAAATTAATTTTTTTATAAATAAAAATTTAAATGGCATATAAATGGAAGCTAAAAATACAATAAGTAATAAATTAATTCTTATTAGGGAAAAAAATAAAATATACTATATGTTATATTCATAAATCAAATACAACGTATTAAAATAAATCATCTTTTGAGGTGAGGCCACCCAATAAAACATGTAATTCGCTTTATGAATAGCAATAGCTAGCTTTTGCCTCAAATAGAAGCCTTTACGGAGTTCATGGGTAGATAGCAAATGTGGGAACCTAGTTCCTTACAAAATGATAAATCGAAATTCAAAAGTTGTTATGATGATGGAAATAATAAGGAATAATTATGCCGTCTTGCGAAATTTCTCCATTTTCAATGCTCTTTTTATTTCTCAGGGATGTTAAAGATTTTATTGGAGGGGGCGAATGGAACAATACAAAAGAAGTCCCTGATTGGAATTGTATAGACGATATTTTAGCTGATCTCAATGCTCTTAGGATGAACCAATTACATAGTTTATGACTATATACATGAACGGTAACCAAGATTATATAGCCCATTTACCTCAACTGTGTCTCATCTCAATTATATATAATACTTTGCATTTGATATATTTATTATACCATAAAAATATTAAAAAATAACTGACGAGGACGTGATACATTATATATACTTTTCAATAGGTTAAAATCGAACTTATTTCAGAAATGATATTCAAGGTTTATTTTCATAAAATAAATAAATAAGTGGGCGTTAATTCATTACCTCTTCTTGTTTTGTCATTTTCTCTTTGTTCAAGACCTCAAATTCTTTTTGCTGGCCTTCAAGAGCGGCTTGAAGATTTTTCGCGTCATCATCTACTTGTCCTAAGTCTTTTGATATTTTTTTACCATCATCGTCAAGCTATATTGTGATGAGGAAGGAAAATAAAGTTAAGTTTTTTTTTGAAATAATTTTTGGAGTGCGTATTTAAAATTTAAAAATCCAATGTGTTCCATCATGTTTGGAAGAATATCTACCCTGGACAATTCTGCTATTGACCTTTGAATCATTTTATACTTTATATAAAAAAATATATGGACAAACGAACATAAATTATGTTAAATTCAAAAATTCATGGCAAAATTGTCTGAAATTTATAGATAAGGTATTCCAAACATTATGGAATAAATTTCCGATAAATTAAATTATTAAATTTCAAAAAAAATGCGCTCAAAAAATGATTTAAAGTTGAAAATATAACACATTGGAGGAGAAAACCCTTTGACACTAACATAAATAAGTTTGTAATTTATTATTTTTTATCTATGATACAGTAAATATTTGATTAGATGCAAAACAAAATAAATGATTTAATATATTATTCTATTATATAGGTTCAATAATCTTTTGAAACATAACCTAATCATATCTATAATAATAATAATAATATATATTTATTCGAGATATATGAGAGTATTTTGATGAATAACCGCAGTGACCAAACATCCTTAAAAGCAAGGGAAGCATTGCTTCCCTCCTAATTTTTATTAAGAAGTTCTTAAATAAATTGAATATAATCTCTATGCTAGGTTAAAAAATTAAATTGATATTATAAAAATTAATATTAAAAAAAATATATATGAGGGGAGTATTATTTAAAACTGATTATTTTTGTTAAATAAAAAAAAAATAATGCTCACAATAATATATTTTTGGTGCAATTTTTTTATTCAGTTAAAAAAAAAAATAAACATTAGGAAACCCAAATATAAAGTGGTTTATTATTATAATAAATAAAGGAAAAATCATGCGAATCTTGTGTAATTTTACGTTTAAAAAATAAGTGTTGGGGAAGCAAGTATTTTAATTTTTTTTTCTATTACTTTACGCACACTTTGACAGCTTTTAAACCAGCCAATAGCGCTAGCCAAAGCTACAACTCCAGCTCCTATAATAACGGGGTCGGCCATTAATTCCACGTCTATTAAAAAAAATGAGAATATTTATAATTATGATTCTTTAAATTATAAGAGTCCTCTACCCATATTCTGAAAGTGTTTAAAGATTTCGCACTACCTTTTAAATACTTCGTTGATTTTACTCTTTTTAATCAGGTATTTATATTTTGAAGCGGATAACCTAATTATAAGGTTTATATTCCGCTAGTTATAGAATATTTTTTAAAAAATAACAATTTTTCGAGATAATGTCAGATATATAGGGTCATCCTTGTCTTAATTAGGTATTCCCTAAAGGCGAAACAAAAATTGGAGGGGAAAAAATGACGATAAATCGCAAAAGATAATTTTAAAACGCTAAATTAAATCAGTAAATGGAATGGAGATTAAAGTGATATAAAATGTAATATGCATTAAGTCTAAAGGTGCATCCTTTACTATTTTTTTTAGAAGATTTGAACTTTTGTGTGAAAATATTTTAGGGATGGTACTGCAGACATTTTGTTCGCAGAAAAATTAAAATTAAGTATATATTGTCTATGAAATATATGAGAGTGAATTAAATATTGTCTTTATCTTTGTAAAAAACAATCATTATAAAATTGTAATATTCTTTACAGCATTGACATAACAAGATGGAGAAAGCGATAATTACCCCCCACCCCTCCTCCCATATTTCTATAAAAATAAAATACAAATATAATTACCTAAAATATTTTTTACATATATAAGATTCTATATATAAACATTTTAACTTAAGTTAAGAAATTTCAAGTGTGGGATAGGGCATAGCATAACTTCTTTCATGATATTAAATTATTCCTAGCTTAGAGAGGGGGGCCAATAATAGTAGATTTAGGATAATCAGCGTCTACATGAAAGAGAGAGAAAATTGGAAACCACAAGTCTAAATTCTTTAAGACCGAACTCTTAACACCCCCCCCCCCACGCAATTACTCCCTATCACTTTATGGGAGACTACCTCCCATCCCCTCTACTCTAAGATATATTGAAACAAATGACTCATCCTACTCATTCATGTAAACACTGGCAATTAGATAAGAGTATAATTCTCTCCATTCCATCTACGAATTTGAGATGTATAAAGAAATAATGAGATTAAAAATGTAATACAAAAAAAAAACGTTGTTTTACCTAAATGTGTCCTTTTGTTGTTTCAAAAGTATTATGTGTTCTTTCTAGCACGAAACAAAAATATCCAATTATAGATTTTTTTAAATAAAATATTAAGAAGCTAAAATAAAATCATTATCCATTTTTTTTTAAGATTCTTCATTCTATAAATCAAACATCTTGGTTTATATTATGATTTAAAAAATATGATTATATGAAACCGTAAAAGCAAATTTCAAAGCAAAAACTTAATTTATTTTTTTTTTTTAAAAAAAAATCAAATTTTTGAAAAAGATTAAGAAAGCGATAAAGAATAAATATATATTTTGATTGTTAGATAATTTAAATCAGATAAAGTTTTAAAATTAGATTTTTGAGGATTTTTTTTTTAAATAAAATTGATTTATCGAGTGTATAAAATGTATTGGACTATAAAAATTTCGGGTTTATTTATTAAACCTTGTTAAATAGGATGACTTAATTAATTAGAGCAACTTTGTTTTTAGAGCATGCTAGTTCATTATATATTTAATAAGTAAGTGTTGTGAACATAATTTTCAATTTTCAAAGGTTCTAAATTCTGAAAAAAATGATTTAAAATCATGAGGTTTTAATTATTTTATTACTACATTAATTATATTAGCTATAACTCCAAGGAATATATCTGACCAAATGGATATGCTCAAAAAATATAGACAAACAATGTGCTTAGTATGAATATATCCATGACAAAGATCATCACAGTAGATTTACCTTAACATATCCTTATCAATGATAAAATTCTGGGTTATGTAAACGAATTCAAATATTTTCGATCTTATATCTGTTCAATCGATAATGATATCAATAAGAGAAAAGGCTTAGCTTGGAATAGATCAATGTACTTAATCAGGAAATATGTTTAAATTACTGATTAATATTTCAGTCAATTCGTGTAATTACTGCCCGTGGAATTAAAGAATGAATTTTCTATTCATTACCTATTAAATTGGATATTTTCAGAAGTTTAAAATGTTAAAAAAAGGAGTGAAAGATGAAACCAATAAAGCGCTTTCAGTATAGCCAGAAATTTTCTACAGGGGTAGGGAGGGGGGATGGCAACTTTTTTTATATTAAAATGATTATTTTTGGAACATTAAAAACAATCATATTTTAAAAAATGTCAATACGAACCCAAATAATAAAATATTGAAAAATACCTATTATAGTTATGTAAATCACAATAAAATATAGAATTGAACATCATTATATGATGATTTAAAAAGTTAATAAAAATATCGTTCATAAATGGAAATTTAATCTTATATGCTATTCCGCCAATTTTACAATAGGTGTTTAGTATTATGGGGATTAAAAAGTTAATAAAAATATCGTTCATAAATGGAAATTTAATCTTCTATGCTATTCCGCCAATTTTACAATAGGTGTTTAGTATTATGGGGATTAAAAAGTTAATAAAAATATCGTTCATAAATGGAAATTTAATCTTCTATGCTATTCCGCCAATTTTACAATAGGTGTTTAGTATTATGGCGATTAAATTTCAAAGTATATTAAGTGAGGCTAGTCCATTCAATTGATTTTCCGATTTCGTATACTTATAAGTTTTTATTCATCGTAATGAAGAAAAAGTCCTTTCACTTAAGCTTATACTAATTAGTATTGTTGGCAAATATACAGGCAATTTTATTATATTTGGAAAAAACTCCAAAATATATTTTAAAGTACATGATACCATGACATGAAGAATATCTACAAAAATTAATCTTTCATACCAATATTTAAATTCTGAAATTAATTCCTCTGAATAAAATTGTGCTAAATATTTAATTTACAATATTATGATTTAATACTCATACGGATTTCTGGTACTTCTTTCTTTCTTTATTTTTTCTTTCTTTCTTTCTTTCTTTCTTTCTTTCTTTCTTTCTTTCTTTCTTTCTTTCTTTCTTTCTTTCTTTCTTTCTTTCTTTCTTTCTTTCTTTCTTTCTTTCTTTCTTTCTTTCTTTCTTTCTTTCTTTCTTTCTTTCTTCCTTTGCCTATAATTGTTGGGTAAATAACTAATATTTATACAATCCAATGCAAAAAAAGTCGGCTGTCGTGTTTATCTAATAATATATCAGCTTTATGTGAAATATCTGGCTCAGACCATTTTAATATTTCTTCAAGAGAAAATCAACAAAGGCTTTCCAGATACAAAAATACTGTTCAAGCGTTGCGTTATTTAACGCAGCGTTATTACAAAATACAATAAATAATTAATAGGTATAAATTTATAAATATGGAGCTTGCTATGAGCGTTGATATTAAATATGCGATACGATTATAAAAAAAGAATTGAGAATTCGATAAAAAGGTATACATGAATTTTATTAAAAATTTTATAAAATAATTATCTCTATTTTAGCTTTTATCTCAGCTGTAATAAAACCGTGTTAAAGATAACGCATTTACTATAAATTTAGCGTTAGTCTAAATTTACTAATACATAATTATTAAAAGTGAGTATAAGTAGATTTTAGCAAAGTTCTAAATTCTAAATATATAGCAAAAACAGCGGAAAGAAAAACACCTATTATTTGGCTCTCTTGTTGTCTTGCCATCAGGCTTACAAAATACCTATTTATGAATCTTGTATAAAAAAATTTCTCAAAAACATCTTTTCTTTTTTTTCCACCAAATTAGTTGAAAATAATTATTGAACCATTATAGATATTTATCACGAAAGCACCTATCTTTTTAAAAGATAATCTTGATTTAAAAAATGATAATGCAAACTATCATAGAAATAATAAGAATATCATTTACGTTTTTTTTCCAGTCTTTTTTTGCAAAGATCTCCTTCCTTCTATAGACGTTATGATTTAAAAGATACGTGTAAAATTCATTTTAAAAAGTTTAGGGCGGATATAGTAATACATATGTCATATTACGAAATCTACGGGGAATTAAGAATCTCTAAATAGTATACCTTAACCTATCCTATGTATTCCAGACAATTTTAACCTCGAACTTTTGTATATTTTTTTAAAATTTATATGAAAAGTTTATATAAAAGAAAAGTATAATATAAATTTAAGAGTAGTTTTTTTCAGGGCAAAATTGTCTCAATTTCATAGGGTAGATACTCTACCAATTTGGAATAAGATTTAGATTTTTTTAAAATTAAAATATGTCCATCAGTAAATTATCGATAGATGGAGAGATTTCAAATTATAATATTTAGATATCCCAATCAATGATATATATTTAATACCAGATTGACGATGCATTCAGTAAAAGTGTACATCGATGAAAGCAGGGGGAGGCTATTATGATGCTATTTTTGTTACTAAAATTTTAAGTAAGCCAAGTAAAATAATATCCTACCTTACAATTTTTTCAAGGCTATTCTCACATGAAAATATGTATGTGGAAAACTTAATTCAAATAATGTAAAGTAATCTGGATCCTCTATAGGTAACCAAAATGACGTGTCACGTGGTCTCCAACTGATTTGCATTCAAAGACATTTAGAAATGCATCATTGTGAATGTGTCGTCAGTCTATGTATTATAATATATCCTTGATCTCAATCCCAATACCACATTATGTGCTCTACTATTTGGGAATTACAAAAAAATAATATACTTTATACTTATAATTTTCATTTATTTTTTGCATAAATTGTATTTATAATTAACAAAAAAAAAAATGTAATTTTACCAAAAATGTATAATTTAAAACACTTAATATTCAAAATCACTAGAGTATAATTTATCAAAATTTTATATAACATTTATTAATCGATCCTTAGTGCCAATGCCTTCCTTTCAATTTTTTCTTAGAAGGTCACAAGTAGATATTTATATTAAAAAGTAAAATAAAATTTATCCCCTCCTCCCCCTCCTCCCCCTCCAGAGATTTGTTAATTGAATTAAAACTCTTTAAGATTATTATATTTAATCTTTGCGTAATTTACTAATATATAATTTAGTAGACTTGCCGTACCATATGTGAAAAATGTTTTACGTATCGGACCGAATAACTTACGTCTTTTTTTTTCCTATAAAAAAAGTTTTTTACGGGCCGGGACCTCTATTACTAATGAAATTATTAAAAGTGACTTACCTTTTATATTCACTTTTCCCCATGTTAGGGTGTTCTCTAAAATAGGGTTGATGGGAATTTAAGGTATATATATACAAGCGTGACGCGACACAATTTAACTGGATTGAGTTTAATAAAGTAATGATGCATACGGTAAGCGTCGAAAGTTTTTTTTAAAAAATATCTTTTTTATAAAAATATTTGATAACGTCATAAATTATCCTCATTTATATTTATAAAAACCATTGTTTTAAAGAATTGAGGTTTGACTGAGATCAGGGCGAGTAGCCAGGAATTTGCTTATGGGGATGGGAAGGGGGAATCTAAAATTTGATATATTTATTGGGACTATTGACTAACAAAATGACAATTATTACTAATAACGAAATAATCTGAAATTTATCTACTATAAATTCGAAATATAATTTTATCCACAAAGATGCTATTATAATTTTAAAAATATTTTCACCGGGTCTGATGATATTTTCGGATAAAAATTTGTTTCACCGTTTTTTGGAATCGGCTGAAACGGCTAAAAATGGAGCTATTACTATTATGAATAAATAAAATAAATGTTTGTGCTAAAAATAATTTGTACATTTTTCTTTTTGAGTCATTATATATAATTTATCAGAAAAAAGGGCCTCGATTTCTAACATGTAAATTATATTGAAAATATTTAAATTATACAAAAATCTACTTAAGAATAATGTATATAAATTTCCAAGGTATTAAAAAAAATATATGCAATTTCCTTAGTGATTGAGCCTATTTTTTAAATAATTGTATCAGAATTTGGTAGTGTTGTTGAATATCTCGATTTAGGTTATATATAAAAAAACATGCTTAAATCAAGATAATAGCCAAATGATTACCTAACACTCAAAATTTCCCCAGAAGAGGGCATAAAAGTTTGATCCTCTTTTGGCTAAATCTAGAGGCTTGAGTACTATTTGGTTGGCTAAAATCTTGATAATTAACAAGTTTTAATTTCTTAAAGAATTGTTATTTCATTTGTGCAA